AAAAATATTGGCAATGCAACAAGTATTAAAAAAATTAATGGAAACGCAAGAAACTTTAACCATTTATTAGAAATGCAAAACAAAATATAAATATTGCAAGAAACATTCATATTAATATTGGAAATACAAGAAATATTAACATAATATATAAATTGCAAGAAACATTTAAATAAAATTTAATATGACATAGAAATTAATAAAACAAATAATTACAAATAATTTGCCTCACTGCTAAGGTTTTCCCCGCTTCTATGGTTGTTCATCGCTTTTGTCAAGGCATCTCTCCATTTTCCCAGCTCTTTATTAAGAATTTTCCACCTACTAGATAATGCATGATCCGTACGGGTAGAACCAATTACCCTTTCACAAAATTCCTGATGAATTTTTTCCACATATGATAGAATTTGATCTCATTGCCCGTTATGGGACAGTGACTAACTTGGAGCCAAGCCTCACACAAGCTAATATCTTCCGTCATGATCCATGCCCCTCCTCCGGTTTCACTAGAAGAACCCATAATATGATGGAGAAAAAAACAACTTGAAAGAGAGAAAAAAACAACTTGAAAGTGAAAAATAATTGAGTAGAAAGTGAAAAATAGTAGAAGGAGAAGAAAATGTATGAGGAGTTGGTGTTAAAAGTGAAGAGTATTGGTTGGTATTTATAGAAAAAAAAAAATTCAGTATTTTTTTCGTATTTTTTTAAATTTTTTCCGATTTTTTTTCATTTTTTTATTGGACAAAAAATTACCTGCCGTTGGATTGCTGGAAAAAAATGATCGGAGAGCCCAGGAGCTTCCACGTGGCATAGAGCCGTTGGGGGCTGCTTTTTTGATTTTTTTATTCGCGAAAAAATGGCTGCCGTTGGATATGTTCAAAAAGCTGATCGGATGACCCAGCAGTAGACACGTGGAAGAGAGCCGTTGGGCGGCTACTGTAGCGGCGTGTCAAAAAAAATTTTAAGCAATGCCCGCGCCAGCTTTAAAAAAATTTCAGCACAGCCCTCGGGCTGGCGCTCGGGCCAGCCCAGGTATGTGGGCCCCATTGCTTGCCTTGGCAGCCTCTTGTTACTGGAAACCACATTTTGGGTTTGCACCCCCCCCCAACCCTCCCCTTGGGCCCCTTGCTGCCAATGCTCTAAATAACAGTGTATAGGCTATAGCTGCTTTTGTATTTCATTCTAGATTGCGAAGTTGTGAATGAAAAACGGGACTTTAATTAGCTATTGGTTTCCTGCCTGCCTCTTGATCTGCAAGTAAATTATTAAGAAGGGTGTTCAATGCAGTTTATTTGATTACCTTGATCTGCAGTTTGACACTGTCGTGCTCAAAAACTGTCGTACTTTAAATATTAAAAAAAAAAGTTTTTTAAAATTTTTTATTTTTTATCAAGCACTGTTTTATGTTCAATCGTTCACAACAGTACTTGATAACCAAAGCGTAATATAACCATGGATAAAGGAGAATTTCTGCACACTCATGATGGACCATGCCTAGTATTAATAATGGATAAGCATGATTTCATTGGTCATTAATCTCTCGGACAAGTATAAATTGATCCATGTTTCCCCTTTTCGGCAGAGTAGGCCAATGAAGGATTTTTGGTATTTCTTCTCTCAAGTTGTTTGAGCCTAGTTGAAATATGGCCGGTTCAAGGACCCATCAATGAGGATAAATAGAAACCCAAGCTATAGTGAATGTAACCCAATTATGAGTGAACCACTCAAACACTTGTGTTATGCGTGTGATTGTGATTTTATCTTCTTAATCCGCCAATCTGATTTCATCCGTCAACAAAATGCATCCCAACAAAGATCCGCAGAAAAACACAAAGCAAGGTATTGCTGAGGCTCTCCGTAAGGCCTTTTGCAGTTACAATGTAAGGAAAATATGTTCTACAAGATAACCTACTATAGTTTCATTTGTATAGAAAATATGAAGGACAGATTAGTGTTCAACATACATGCAATACAAAATTACAGAAAAATACTAACATGTAGATTTTTAATCACTGCAAATTGTGAGACCACGTACATAGTATTGAATCAGAGTCAATATTTTGAATAGTTTGATAACATTACTTGATGATCTGCAACTGGCTGGTGCCTTCTTGAACTTGATGCAGATGTAAGATCTAGCAAGAAGAAAAGGCCAACCCAAGTTGTTCAATGATGATGGCTCTCTGGAATTTTAAGTTCTCTCGGATCTTTTGAGATGTGCTTAATTCTCTTACAATGAAAGGAGTTACAATAGGCTAACTTGGCCCTGTTTCAAGAAACTTGTATGCTTCTTCATCAGCAGTAAAACCATCCACTTTCATCTGATCAAGAATTATAGAAACTGATTTTCCAGATGCAGCACTAGCCCTCAGCAGTCTGTGATACAAATCCCTGGACAAAGGACCCAAGTTCTTTAGTAAACTTATGATCTCTTCAATTCCTTCAAAATCTCCTTGCCCTTCCAAATAATTCAAACATGCTGTCAGAGTACTAGAATCAGGCACCCAGCCCTGCCTATCGACTGACAGTGCCTTCTTCAATGTTTCAATTGCTTTAGGCATTTGCTTACTTTCCGTATAACCCATTGCTAACGCATTCCATGTGCTAGCATAAGGGATTCTTCCTTCCGCAGCCTTCTTTACAGCTGATTCTGCTTTATCAAAAAGACCCTTTTTGCAATACGCAACAAGAAGCCTGTTCAACACCCGAAAGTCATAATACTCTGTGCATTGTGACTCCCACTCCTCAAATATCCTCTCAGCCCCCTCAATATCATCAAGCTTTGCCAAAGATGAGATCATGCAACCATATGGTACATCCATTGGTTCATTTGATTGCTTGTATGTATTCCAAACTCTGTATAGCTCCCCTTTATGGCCAGTATTTGCATAAAGAGTGATAAGAAATTCTAATGATTTCCTGCCCTGGAGAGGCATCATTCTCTCCATCATTTTCAGCATTGAACAAGCCTTTTTTATCATCCCGACTTTTAGATACCCACTTGCTGCCATTGAATATATTTTCCAGTCAACAATGAAGTTTGAATCTTCCTCCATCCTATTCAGGATAGTTTCCATCCCAGGCATGTCAGATGCTGCAATGTATGCAATCATTCGATTTCTCAAAGTGTACTTGTCGAGAGGAATTCCATTCTCTTCCATTTCTTGCATCAGTATGTTAATCTTCTCATGTTCTCCATTTTGAGAGTAAAGATTGATCAACATATTGTAAGGGAATGATGTCTTTGCCATACCCAACTTTTTCATTTTCTGCATAGTGGCTTCTGCTTTCTCAACAGAATTCTCTTGCACATAAATGCTGAGAAGAGCACCATATGCATTAACTGATTTTAAATTCTTCGACATATTGTTGAAGTACTTTTCTGCATCCTCTAGTCCATGCACTCTGTGGATTAAGTTCAGTCTAGCCGCAGCATCACTTGGTGATAAATCAAAATACCTGCGGTCCGTCATCCACTGGGATATCTAAATAACAAAAGGATGACACAGAATAATTAGAAGCTGGCAGTCTAAACACATTTTTATTAAGGTTGGAATTAATCTTTGTCACACCGACCCGGTTCATCTAATTACAATTCACTACAACAATCACTCACCATAAGACAGAGGCCATACCAACAATTCAATGAATGTCCTAGTAAAATGCCTAAACAACCCCTCCATGCTGGTAAATGCTGAATTGTAAAATGAATGAACCAAATATATGACATGAATTGGATCATACAAAAATCTTTAACCGCCAATGATATGCCATGATACCACATTTAAACATTTTCAGTAAAGGTAACTGATATTTCCTTTCATATAGAGAGGAAAAAAAAAACAATATATTAGAAAAGGGGAGCTGTTATTGGCACTCCAAAATAGCCACCCTACCCTCCTTGCAGTTGAATTTTTCCCTTATGTTCTCATACAGGAGGAGTACATGATGAGTTTTTTGGAGTGCCAATAACAGTTTCCTAGAAAATATTTGCAGGGAACTTTGGTGGTGCTGCAATTTATCATTTGCATCACCCAGTTCACGAACTTCGCACCACGTGAATCAGCAAATTGGTAAATTTAAAGCAAGAAATGTATAAATAAATAAAAATAAAAATAAAAGGAGCAAGGCTTGGATCTTGTGCTTCTAAAATGGTCAACAGTTCATACATTTAAATTTCAGATTGTCGATAATACATTGCAGACACCTGGATAACACAACACTCACACGCAACAGATGAAATTAACAAAATACCAACCCAACTGCATAGGTTTATAAATAAAAGATAATATATTCCAATCGTTTTGATAACTGGTTGAATTGACCTATAGAAACATATATATATATATATATATATATAAAAGAGTTGCAAGAACCAAAATAAAAGAAGGAAAGAAACTGTGAAGTGGGTAAGAAAGATTTGAACCTCAAGAGCGTGATTGAAGCGTCTGAAGTCCTTCAAGAGTCGAACCAGTGACTGAAGCTCTTGCTTCTCAACAGCTCCACCTTCAGTGACCCACTGTTCGAGCACTGGTAGAACCGAGGCTTTTGGGTCTCTGATGACCTTGATGCGATCGTGGAGAGTAGTGGATGAAGAAGAAGAAAGAGAAGGTGGGTTTGGGGTTTTAGAAGGGCGGAGTGAAGGTAAAGCACCATAATTTCTGCGAGGGTTTTGAAGGGAAAAGGATATGAGCTTGCTCATACAACTAAGCTTCATTGGCGCTCCCTGTCTCTGGTAATAGAGTGGCTTGGGTTTAAGGGTTTAAGATTTCCGTGGATATGAAAGGAAAAGCTCAGCAATTGTCAGAAAGAAGGGCAATAACCTCCGCGGTGCAGCCAATGGGCCAAATATTTTCTTTCAAGTTTGAAAAATGAGCCCAATATATATATTTCTTTTTTTTTTTGGGTTCAAAGCCCAATTTTTTATGTATAACACTTTATTGAATTTTTTTCTTTTCTTCTCTTTTCTTTATCATGAGTAAATACCCTATTTTTAGGGCAAAATTGCAAGCAAAACCCAACCCCTTGGAAATTAGAACATATCGAAATGGCCGATCAGTCCTAAAGATCATGACATGTAGATCGTGTGGAGGATAAGAATGCCAAAATATGGCCTATGGTTTAACGCATATGATTAGATTAGATTGTTATTCATAGATTGAATGATATGATCGTTTTTGTATCACATGACTTAAAATAGAATTATAAAATTTTGAACCGATTCAATGATATTATCTCCTCCCGTTTGATTTCCACATCTCTGAGGCTGAAGTCCCATATCTAAGGTTTCGAGTCCCGAGTTTCGAGTTCAGGTTATGTTATCCCAACTTTTAAATAAAATAAGTTGTCCCATAAAAATGTGAAGGATTGTATTATAATGAAATTATTTTTATCCAATCCAAAGTTTATTTATTAAGATACCTTTTAAGATTGTATTAAAATTATCACTATTGGATTTGGATATGCATGTACTTTTTATTTTATTTTATAAGTAAATTTAGGTTTTAGCCATAAAAAAACTTTCACTTTTGGAAAAAACCAAAACTTTTTCAAAAAAAATAGAAAAACCTCTCAACTTTCAAATCAAAGACATGCAAATATAAATGATTTCTTAGGAAATCCAAAAATATAAGGGCAATTTTGTCCATTTTGGCTTCTTTTAAAAAATTTCTCTCTCCTTTTGCTTTTTCCAAAGTCTCCCTATTTTATATACAAGCGATCATTCTCTAATATCGCTTGTATATTAAAAAACAATTGTGTCCTCCGAGCAAGCATCTTTGGCCTCAACGTACGAGCAATGTATACAACATATACCATTCATTTATACATAAATAATTGCATTATGCAGACATATATATATATCAGCAATGTATACAATACATATGTACCTGTGTTGGCAACAGGTATGTACAAATATATCTCATCAAGCAAACTAATCCAAACTATCCACAAAAGCTAACAGCCCCATACAACCTATGCCTGTCCACTCCGAAGTCCTACTCATGAGCCAGTCATATACAACAACAAGGTGCACGTTAGAAGTGAAACATACATGCTACGGTGAGAAGCTAAAACAACCGACCGCATGGTTCCCAGTGTCAACTCTATTAATCTGCTCTGTAGAAATGCAGCAACTTTAATGGTTTCACCTTTTCCTAGCATCAAAATCACAAAGGCAAACTTGAGTTTGTTATCATCAGTGTTATCCTCAATTAACAAGGAAATCTGGTGGAGAAACCTACAGAAACTTGGATTCCTTCTTCGTATTGGGAAGGGAAATGAAAACCTGTCGAGCAATTCTCCAACATTTCAGGACTCTTCATCCATGCTCTACGTGCATCACTCACCTTTATCTTATACTTGAACATCTGTGATATTAACAAAGAATCTAAGGTTTAGAGATAGCATATTGCTGAGGTTTCTTTCTTCCTAGCCTATACCTCTCTATGAAATCAGATGATAATTTTCTGAAAAGATTTCCCTTCAAAGCTCTTGACTCATCATAAGCATGCTCTATCACAATCATGAAAAACTAATAACTCTACTTGGCTTGCCAAAAATTGATAATAAAAACGTGTGCTTGATTGTTTTTCTCCCAAATTGGGAAACCACTACTTCAGTCAACACAAAAAAAAAGGCAAGGAAATGTATAAATAAAAAGACAACGATTCAATTAAGAAATTGTCCTGCAAAGTTCAAACCTGAGACAGAGGGAGATTTGGTTTCTCCAGGTCATCTCCATCAATGATTGCACCAGTACCCTGACACTCTGGGCAGAATACAGAATGGATTTGCGTGCTCAAAGCTTTCATCTGACCATCTTGTCCATTGCACTTGGCTGCATTTTTTCTCCTAGATCTTCTTCTCACTTTTGAATTAGTGGACTGATTTGCAATCTCAACCTCACACCGAAGTATCCAGTGTATAAGGCAGGAAGTATGAAACACATGAAAAGCCTGCATGTGAACAAAATAAAATTATAAGAACTACATTAAAAGTTTAGAGTACCACACCCAAATGCAGAATTGAATGCATACATTGCAAAATTAAGAAGATGGAGTTCCAGAATGTGGGGGAGGGAAGGAAGGGTATGATGAAAGTTATTTCGGATTCTCACCCCATTCACATTTCGACTACTGCAAGCAAGCCTTCCAGTCTTCAAATTTATGAGGGCTGATACATCTTTCCCAGGAATCATCCTCTGTTGACATATATCACACATTCTCCCTAGAGCTAAACGCTGTTGCCGCCTCAACTCTCTTCTTATAGACTTGTTTAAAATAAATCTTGTGTGCAGAAGCTGATCGTCGTACCGGTCTAAAAGCAACTTTGATGATGCACCACTGGATGCAGAGGAATCTTCCCCACATGAATCATACTGATTACTTAGAGATTCACTGATATCCTCAGGGTCAGAAAAGGACTTCTTTCTCTTACTGCTGCTGCCTTCACCATTTTCTGTTTCTACCGAAGGACTGGAAGAGAGAAGCATCTTTACATCATCAAGCAACCCCTTTCTACCTAAATCAATATTGTAACAGAAGGTAACAACAGCGAAGTCGTGCTCAGGAACTTTTAAATGATACTCGTTGCCAATAGCTTTTTTCCCCAACCATTCACACCATATTCTACCAATACCTTTTGACACCTTATCCTTCTCAAGGAATCTTGCAGCAATTTGTCCCAAGCCTACCTTCTTCGCTTCTATGTCAGTAACATCATCCCTAACCAGAACACTAGGGATCACTACAGAGGAATTCACTTCATTAGCAGTTGAATTCTCATTAGAGCAACTAAATTTGAAATTTGAACGAACCCTCGGAAAATCTAAAGAGCCATTACAGTCAAGACCATCAGTACCAACATGCTCATTGCCATTGGATATCAGATTTTCCCCATACTTGACAATAGCAAGATTGTTTTCATCGTCAGGAGACTCCAACATCCTAAATTTATTGTCATCTGTAATCACCAAATGCTTATCAGTCTCATCTGGATTATGAAAGAAAGCCACACCATCGTTAAAAGGCCACGGGTTTGGTCGCAACAGAGTAACCTTAGCAGCAGCTAACCTGTCCTTGTGAAGATTACCCTTCAAGTGATCAAACAGCACCTTATCACTATAACATGGAGCCAGACACAAAGTACAGAAGAAAATGAACTTTTTCCCATCTTCTCGGAGCTCAACATATGTGTGCCCTTGCGACCTCACATTGCGAAGAATTGTTCTTGTTGCCTGCTCTCTAAGACTACTAGCACTAGTCTTTGGAAACCCGAGCTCCCACCTTTCCGCCATTAAAGCTTCCCACCAAAAATCAAGTTCAACTTCAAATGTCCCTCTACTTCTTTCAATAACACGAGCTGAAAGTCAAACTTCACTTGTGTTGTTTCAAGAGATATTCAAGCCACAGACAATTTACCAAGCATGTGAAAACCTAAGAAGCTCAACTCCACGAGAATTTCCCGAACCCTAGAATTTATACATGAACCACCGTTCTTCATAAACACCACAGAACTTCCAAAATCGACTAGAATCCAAAACACAAGTTCTCCTAAATTCACCGTAACCTAGAGCTTCCGTTTCCAATTCTTCAAATTCAGGTACAAAAAGAGCAATTGAAGACGACAATAACAACTCTAAAACTATGTAAATCTAGAAATTAGCACAGAAAACCGGAAAATTACTTATTCGTAGCGTACTCTGTATAGGATTCTTTAGAAACCGCGGCGCTCGTCCGTCAGATTGCAGAGCGTAACGAGCCATGAAGAGAAGCGAACGAGAGCATGAGTCCTCCATAGCCATCTCCATTTCACTCGAAGCTCGACAGAAACTCCGTAGCTGTTTGGAGGGAGAGAAAAAGTGGGGGAAAATCAAATGGAAAAGGAAGTGAAGGAAACCAAACAGTTGAGATTTCAATTTTCTGAATAATTGCTTTAGGCTTCACGCTATCTTTGTTCTTATAATTGTAACATTTGATTAGTTATCCTCTGCTTCGCGGAGTACGGTAAAAGGATCAGATGGTGAAGTACTGATTCTGAACCGTTGGATTTGTTAGTTTGAAGTTGATGAGTCGTGATCAACACTGCAAAAGTGAGGAGGGAGAGAGCATATCCGAATTTTGAACAGAATTAAATGGGTTTTTAGGTGTAGAGTTCGGACAAAAATGGATAAGGATGCGAACTGTCTGGTGGATGCCATTTTTGTTAATACA